ATAATCTCCACAGTTATATTACAAAAATTTATTCACCTGTCAATAGTTATATTTTTACAAAAAAAAAATACTTAAGTTAATAAAATCACTTATTACTTAACTCTTCACATATGAGTTTCATACATAAAAGTTAACAAAGAATCAAGCGCACTAAAATTAAGCAAACATATTCCTTGCTCCATCAAAACCACTTTCTTATCGTTTGAACTATCTTGATACAAAAATACGGTAAGAGAAAGGGAGGCCAAACACTGCCGCTGCCCGAATTTCGTCTCACATGCATCAGAAATTTCTGGCTAGACCTAGTATGCCAAGTCCCAATTTATGCTAGAAAATAAATGCTAGGGAAAAAATCCCCATGTTGTCAACGCTAAATGAAATTGTAACTAGATATATGGGTACTAAAACCTTCTATTGGGACAACAAAACGCGTTGCGTGGAATAGTAGTGGGTTACAGTAAAGGCAACCACCACTAGTACATATTTTATAGTAATTCTACTACTTTATTTATCTAATGGAATGCTGTACCGTTAGCGTTACTGAGTGGTTACTTAGTTCTCCGACGAAACAACAAAGGTAAGCCACCTGCGATAGACTGTACAAGGTTCGAGGTGGGGTCCACGTTGGGAAAGCGCAGAGTCTCCGGTGCTGGCTCTACCGAGTATCGTGACAATACTGCTGCCAACCCCGCCAGTGACTGCATCTTACCCAAACGTTCGCCTGCAACAATAAACACAGTTATAAAGTGCCGTTAAAAATTAAACGCGATTTACGTAAATTTCTGAGGCAACAAGGAGTGTGCGCCTATTCAGGAAAATTACAAAGAATATTGCGGACTCAATTTAAAAGGCTCTCCTACTTAACCAATTTCTTTCTTTTTCTACAACGAACTATACAATATACAGTAGTAAAGTATGTACAGAAACAGTTAACTTACCAATACAAGCACGAGGGCCTTCCCCAAAAGGTAAATATATATATTTTGTCATCGGGTTAATGAAATCATTTAAGAAACGAGCTGGCTTATACTTTTCTGGTTCTTCAAAGTATTGTGGATCCATGTGCAACGCCTGCACAGGTATTACTATCGACACACCTTCGTCTATCGTAAGATCCAGATCGGGGAATGTGTATTTGCGAGCACACTTTCTAAACAAATGGCCCAGCGAAGGAAACATTCGGATCCCTTCTTTATAAGCGCATTGTAAATAATTCATTTCATTAATTGCATCATAGCATAGTTTATTGTTATACTTCGCTAAGATTCTATCGACATCTTCTTGTACTTTCCGTTGTTCTTCGGGATGGAATGCTAGTTGATGTAATGTGTAACTTGTCGAAGAAGATGAAGTTTCGAAGCCCGCAGCGAAGAATACCATCACTTGAGCCATCATCAGTTCTTCTGTTAATTCTAAGGACACCTCTTCAGGTGTACCGTCGGGTCTTATGTTTTCTATAGATTGGCCAACAATTTTTCCTTTCTTCTGACATTTAAGAAGTATGTCAACAAAATCGTTTCTACCGCATGGCTTATAATTTCTCTTTTGAAGAATACTTCCGAAAAGTGATTTGGAAATATCTTCGAATCTACCAAATACTTTTAAATGTTTGCAAGCTTCAGGAAACATCTCCTTTAGCATTTGAATAATAATTTGACTTAATTCCACCCTAAAAATATCTATACCAAATTTTTTCTAAAAATGGAATTTTCTTCAGTTAGAGTATCCATGTCGAGACCGAATCCACAAGCTCCAATGAAGTCAGTAGTGGACCGCGCCATTACATCTCGAGCATCGAGGACTCGTCCAGTTGTTGGTGCATTGATTGCATGATTCTGCAGACGCTCAGCGCGTTCCACAATGAGAGGAAACATCGCCTTCAGTTTACCGCTGGTGAACGCAGGAGTCATGCGCTTTTTTTTTTTT